GAGTTGTTTTTTTTTTATATTTAGAGCCAATTCTGTAAAATCTTATGTAGTTTTTAGAGTGCTATATAAGCTAGCAATTATGTCATTTGATGTTGAGAGGGATTTGTGTGAACATTTATCTTAAGTTTATCGGCCAGGCGTGGTGGTTCACACCTGTAATCCCAGCATTTTGGGAGGCTGAGGCAGGTGGATCATTAGGTCAGGAGTTCAAGGCCAGACTGGCCAATATGGTAAAATCTCATCTCTACCAAAAATAAAAAATACAAAAAATTAGCTGGGTGTGGGAAACTGAGGCAGGAGAATGCCTGAACCTGGGAGGCGGAGGTTGCAGTGAGCTGAGATCGTGCACAGGCTTGGCTCACTTCAACCTCCTGGGTTCAATCGATTCTCCTGCCTTAGCCTCCTGAGTAGCTGGGACTACAGGCATGTGCTACCACGCCTGTCTAATTTTTTTATTTTTAGTAGAGACAAGGTTTTGCTATGTTAGCCAGGCTGGTCTCGAGCTCCTGATCTCAGGTGATTTGTCATGCCCGGCCTGATTTTTTTTTGTTTGTTTTGTTTTGTTTTTCTTTTCTTTTTTTTTGAGACGGAGTTTCACTCATGTTACCCAGGCTGGAGTGCAATGGCGCGATCTCAGCTCACTGCAACCTCCGCCTCCTGGGTTCAGGCAATTCTCCTGCCTCAGCCTCCCGAGTAGCTGGGATTACAGGAACGCACCACCATGCCCAGCTAATTTTTTTGTATTTTTAGTAGAGATGGGGTTTCACCATGTTGACCAGGATGGTCTTGATCTCTTGACCTCGTGATCCACCCGCCTCGGCCTCCGAAAGTGCTGGGATTACAGGCTTGAGCCACCGCGCCCGGCCTGTTTTGTTTTTCTTTGGAGACTCTTGCTCTGTCACCAGGCTGGCATGTAGTGACTTGATCTTGGCTCACTGCAGCCTCACCTCCCTGGTTCCATCGATTCTCCTGCCTCAGCCTCCTGAGTAGCTAGGACTATAGGCACATGCCATCGCACCCAGCTAATTTTTGTATTTTTAGTAGAGATGGGGTTTCACCATGTTGGCCAGGATGGGCTTGATCTCTTGACCTCGTGATCCACCTGCCTCAGCCTCCCAAAGTGCTGGGGTTACAGGTGTGAGTCACTGGGCCCGTCCTGAATTTCTTCTTTAGGAAGAAACTGGTTGTCTGTTTGTTTTTTGAGACAGTGTTTCACTCTGTCACCCAGGTTGGAGTACAGAGGCATGATCTCAGCTCACTGCAACCTCCGCCTCCCAGGTTGAAGTGATGCTCCTGCCTCAGCCTCCTGAGTAGCTGGGATTATACAGGCACCCACCAGCATGCCTGGCTAATTTTTGTATTTTTAGTAGAGATTGGGTTTCATTGTGTTGGCCAAACTGGTCTCGAACTCCTGACCTCAAGTGATCCACCTGCCTTAGCCTCCTAAAGTGCTTGGATTATAGGTGTGAGCCACCATACCCAGCCTAATACTGGTTGTCATTGGTGGTATAATCGATTTTCCACTTCTCTCCAGTGAAGGGGGTTGAATTTATGATATTCTAGAATGATTAAGGATTGAGATACATCTGATTTCTTGATATTTTTCTTTCAAATGAAATTGAAAGTATATTCCAGCCATTTGTTTCTTGACTCAGAAGGCATATATAGGGTTTTGTTTGGATCTGCACATTAACATTTTCTTAGACCTCTGTTATTGTCACAACTTTAAAAAGCTTTCAAACTCAAATTCTAGATAAGTAGAAATTTTTATTGTTGACACTTACTTAAATTTGAGGTTTCCTTCAGTGCCCAATCTTTGTGACTGCTAGCCAATTTCCCAAAGTCATAAAGAAGTCTCTTAAAAATAATTAATATTGCTGGGCGCGGTGGCTCACGCCTGTAATCCCAGCACTTTGGGAGGCCAAGGCGGGTGGATCACAAGGTCAAGAGATCGAGACCATCCTGGTAAACGTGGTGAAACCCCGTCTCTACTAAAACTACAAAAAATTAGCTGGGCATGGTGGCGCATGCCTGTAATCCCAGCTACTCGGGGAGGCTGAGGCAGGAGAATTGCCTGAACCCAGGAGGCGGAGGTTGCGGTGAGCCGAGATCGCACCATTGCACTGCAGCCTGGGTAACAAGAGTGAAACTTTGTCTCAAAAAAAAAAAAATTAATATTGCCGGGCACAGTGGCTCAAGCCTGTAATCCTAGCACTTTGGGAGGCCGAGGTGGGTGAATCATGTGAGGTCAGGAGTTCAAGACCAGCCTGGCCATCATGGTGAAACCCCATCTTTAAAAAAATAATAGTAATAGAGAGAGATCCAAGATGGCTGATCACTAGCAGTTTGGGATTGTAGCTCCCAGTGAAAGCGCAGAGAACGAGAGGACGCCACACTTACAGACAAATTTTTGTTGCTCACGCACCAGGAGATTCCCAGTGGAGGAGCCCCATGGGTTGCCAGTGCAACTCTTGTGGCCGGCGAGGTGGTTTTGCCGCTGCCTTGGTGCGGCGGTTCTTGGTGCAGAGTCAGAAAAGCACCATCAATCTTAATGCCGCTGTTTTGGCCGTCGCAGTGGGTTGCTCAGATTTTATCGCTGGGAATCAACAAGTTGGACGTCCACTCAGAAACCCAATTATAAAGACGACAGATGAATAAATCTATAATGAAGAGACGAAACCAGCCTTAAAAGGCTGAGAATACCCAAAATCAGAACGCCTCTCCCTTTACAGGGGATCACAGTTCCTCATCAGCAACGGAACAAGGCCTGATGGAGAACAAGTGTGTTCCATTAACAGAGGCAGGCTTCAAAAGGTGGATGAGAAGAAACTTCAGTGAATTAAAAGAACTTCTAACCCAATGCAAAGAAACTAAGAACTTTGAAAAAAGGCTTGACGAAATGTTAACAAGAATACACAATTTAGAGAGGAATATAAGTGAATTAATGGAGCTGAAAAACACAACATGAGAACTTCGTGAAGTATGCACAAGTTTTAACGGCCAAATTGATCAAACAGAAGAAAAGATATCAGAGGTCGAAGACCAACTTAATGAAATAAAACAAGAAGACAAACTTAGGGAAAAAAGGATAAAAAGGAACGAGCAAAGTCTCTAAGAAATATGGGACTATGTGAAAAGACCTAATCAACGTTTGATAGGTGTACCCGAATCTGACGAAGAAAATCAATCCAAGCTGGAAAATACGCGTCAGGATATTATTCAGGAAAACTTTCCCAACCTGGCAAGGCAGAACAATATTCAACTCCAGGTAATAGAGAGAACACCACAAAGATGTTCCTCAAGAAGACCAACCTCAAGGCACATAATCGCCATATTCACCAGGGTTGAAATGAAGGAGAAAATACTGAGGGCAGCCAGAGAGAAAGGTCAGGTTACCCATAAAGGGAAGCCTATCAGACTCACAGCAGATCTCTCAGCAGAAACCCTACAAGCCAGAAGAGAATGGGGGCCAATATTCAACATCCTTAAAGAAAAGAATTTTCAACCCAGAATTTTATATCCAGCCAAACTAAGCTTCATAAGCAAAGGAAAAATAAAATCTTTTGTGAACAAGCAAGCACTCAGAGATTTCATCACCACCAGGCCTGCTTTACAAGAGCTTCTGAAAGAACCACTACACATAGAAAGGAACAGCCAGCATCAGCCTTTCTAAAAAACACCAAAAAGTAGAGAGCATCAACATAATCAAGAGTTTGCATCAACTAATGGGCAAAACAGCCGGCTAACATTAAATGGCAGTATTTATATTATTATTAATTCTAAATTTAAATTGACTAAATTCCCCAATCCAAAGACACAGACGGGCAAAAAAAGCCAAAACCCATCGGTATGCTGCATCCAGACCCATCTCACATGCAAGGATATACAAAGACTCAAAACAAAGGGATGGAGAAAGATTTACCAACCAAATGGAGAGCAAAAATAAATAAAAAGCAGGAGTTGCAATTTTTGCCTCTGATAAAATAGACTTCTAAGCAACAAAGATCATAAGAAGCAAAGAAGGATTTACATAATGATAAAAGGATCAATGCAACAAGAAGAGCTAAAGATCCTAAATATATACGCACCCAATACAGGAATACCCAGATATATAAGACTTATAAAGAGACTTAGACTCCCACACAATAATAGTGGGAGACTTCAACATCAATATAAGACAGATCAATGAGACAGAAAATTAACAGTGATATCCAGGATTTGAACTCAGATCCGGAACAAGTAAACTTAATTAACATTTATAGAACTCTCTACTTTAAATACACAAAATATACACTCTTATAAGTACCACATCACACCTATTTACAGGTTTAAATGAAATATTGGTTGGCTGCTTGTTTGTTATTTTCTTCCCTCATTTTTTTTTTCGTGTCTCTATTATTAAGCACAATTATAGGCATACCCACTTTTAGACGGCATTCTAGCCTGGGCAATAAAGCAACACTCCCGTTCTCTCTCCCTCTTCCTCTTCCTCATTCTTCCTCTCCTTAATTTTTTTTTTTAATTCTATTTTTTTTCTTTCTCTCTTTCTTCTTTTTTTCTAAAAAAAGAAAAAAAGAAACCTGCAGTGTTGCCTCTAAAGGCTGATAAAAAATAATAATAATAATAATAATGACTAATATTTATCCAGCCATGGTGGCTCACACCTGTAATCCTAGCACTTTGGGTGGTGGAGGTGGGTAGATCACTTGTGGTCAGGAGTTCAAGACCAGCCTGACCAACATGGTGAAACCCTATCTGTACTAAAAATATAAAAATTAGCCAGACATGGTGGCAGATGCCTGTAATCCCATCTATTCAGTTGGCTGAGATAGGAGAATAGCTTGAACCTGGGAAGTGGAGGTTGCAGTGAGCCAAGATCTCACTATTGCACTTCAGCCAGGGGAACCAAGAAAGACTGTCTCAAAAAAAAAAAAAAAAAAAAAATTCATGAGCTCAGAATCCTCTGAATCCCCCTTGACCGCTGGATTTTCTTACTACAGGAGGATATCCTGATGCAGTCCAGCAAAGAACTTTTACACGTGGACCTCCCTGAAGATTTTCTAAGGAGCAAAGGTATTTATTTCTCTCAAATCTCTTCGTTTTTCCATTTACTACAAATACTGTTTTAGTTCCATTTCCATTTTGCATTAAAAATATAAGGGTTATAAGTCCCTGCCTTGTAAGGTGGACTTGACTATAGAAATTGTAACTTCGGGATAGATTATATCTTAGTATTGCCCATGGATGTATTTGCACAGCTTACTGCAGCCTCAACTTCCAGGGCTCAAGCGATCTTCATACCTCGGCTTCCTGAGTACCTGGGACTACAGGTGCAAACCACCATGCCTACATTTTTGTGTTTTTTTTGTAGAGGCATGGTCTCACCATGTTGCCCAGGCTAGTTTCGAACTCTTGGGCTCAAGTGATCCTCTCGCCTCTGCCCCACAAAGTGCAGGATTGTAGGTATGAGCCACCACACCCAGCAAGTCCCTTTCTTTTGATTGTGTTGGACCTTTATTAGATTTTATATCGTCAAATATACTAATTTGTCTGTTTAGAAGGGTTAACTGGGACAGGGGAGGAATGTACCCAGTATAGTTCAGCATGTGGTAGTGTATCCTATTTTTGTTCTGTGGGGTCAGGGATGAGAGAAAATGTTTACTCCAGGTCACCTTGAGAGTTTTCAAGGCAGTTTTATTACCTCTTTTTGCTCCTCAGAACAATGATTGGGCATAGAGATGTGAGATTATTACTTGTAGATTGATTGATTGAGGAGGAGGATGAGGTCCAAAAGAGAGTAGCTGAGGTAAGGTTCTAACTCTTCTCACCTCAAGGCTAAAAATAATCTTAGGTAACTTTAGAGAGCACTGTGTGTTAATTAAAGCTAATATAGAATAATCAGGCTGGGCACACTGGCTCACATCTGTAATCCCAGCATTTTGGGAGGCCAAGGTGGGAGGATTGCTTGAGCCCTATAGTTCCAGACTAGCCTGGGCAACATGGTGAAACCCCTTCTCTACAAAAAATACAAAAATTAACATGGCGGCACACACCTGTGGTCCCAGCTACTCCGGAGGCTAAGGGAGGGGGTTCACTTGAGTCCTGGTGGGAGGTTGAGGCTGTAGTGAGCTGTGATCACACCACTGTCCTCCAGCCTGGGCAACAGAGCAAGACCCTGTTTCACTAAATAAATAACGTAATATAATATAGTATAATCAGAACCTCACAAAGAGAAAATAAAATGAATATGCCAAATCAGTTGTCCAGGACATTTTTGGAGTCAGGGACTGGTTTCATGGAAGACAATTTTTCCACAGATCCAGTGGGGTGGATGGTTTCAGGATGATTCAAGTGCATTACATTTATTGTACTTTATTTCTGTTATTATTATTACTTGTAATATATAGTGAAACTATACAACTCCCCATAATGTAGAATCAGTGGGAGCCCTGAGCTTGTTTTCCTACAACCAGGTGGTCCCCTCTGGGGGTGATGGGAGACAATGACAGATCATCAGGTATTAGATTCTCATAAAGAGCTGGAAACCTAGATCCTTTGCATGTGTAGTTCACAATAGGGTTCGCACTCCTATGAGAATCTAATGCTGCACTATTTATCTGACAGGAGGCGGGGCTCAAGCAGTAATGCAAGCAATGGGGAGCAGCTGTAAATACAGATGAAACTTTGCTCACTTGCCTGCCGCTCACTTCCTGCTGTGCAGCCTGATTCCCAACAGACCAAGGATGGGTACTGGTCCATGGCCCAGGGTTGAAGACCCTTGCATTAAATTATGTGAACATTTTGTTACTGTGATAAAACATCACATTTGACTCTTAGCTTCTTGGCAGCCTGGATAGAAAAGGAAGCACATATGATCATCCTTATGAAAAAGGACATTTGTCCCAGTTTATCATCCTGCTTCCTGTTGCTACAGATTTTCTCTGTGGCTCAAAGGCTTGACTGCCCAATATAGATTAAAGGACATTCCTCTGAAAATGAGAAATGTTGTTTCGTACATAAATCACACCCTGCTTCTTAGGGATGTAGTTTAGTGGCCCCCTAACCTCACCCCCAAGATCTTTTTAGTGGGGCTCCGGTATTGCTGTATTCAGTCTTTGGTATATTTTTGCCCACATCTTATAACAGAATTTAATGTCTGTTGAACTACACTTTCATTTAGCCACCGAACTGGCCTTTTAAACAGGAGAATCAGAGTTATTTTCTGCTTGGAAATGTGCCTTTTCAAAATTACCTGGCTGCCCTCCACCTAAAAAGCTGGTCCACATTGGACGTTGATAAGATGAACTCTCCTGAATAATGTCTTCAGTTAAATCACTCTGTGGCACTTTTCCTCTTCTACAATCGTACTTATTTAATGACTTAAATTGGTAAAATATTTGATTTTTTTTTTTCTCCCCCAAGCCCATGTGTAAGGGTGTCAGTTTGGGATAGGGGAGCTTGAAATCTGCAGCTCTACTAGAGTTTTAGCAGCAATGGCTTAGTTCATTCAGTTCCCCAAGAAACTTCCAGGGTATTTCTGTGTTGCACGTGAGGAAGCAAGCTCAGTTGTCCAAAGTCAAAGCCGGTCATAGCAAGCCAGAGAAGAAGGTTCTATGGAAACAAGTCTGTGACGATGTTGAGCCCTGGGAGCATGAGCAATATATGCCATCACCATGGATTTAATTTAAACGGACCCACATGCTCTTCTGTAGTGTGGCCAGCATATCGGCTTGCTTTACCAAGGTCAGGCATCTGCTACTTTATCTTTACTATGGGATTAAGAACTGAATGATGCCCCTTAGAAATCTAGTTTGTCTCCAGGGCCCCAGCTACCAAAATCTTCACTCTGCCCCATATTTAAGTTTTCTTTTTTTTTTTCTTTCTGTCACCCAGGCTGGAGTACAGTGGCTCGATCTTGGTCTACTGCAGCCTCTGCTTAGCAGGTTCAAACGATTCTCCTGCCTCAGCCTCTCAAGTAACTGGGACTACAGGCATGCGCCACTATGCCTGGCTGATTTTTTTTTTTTGGGGGACGGAATTTCGCTCTTGTTACCCAGGCTGGAGTGCAATGGCGCGATCTCGGCTCACCGCAACCTCCACCTCCTGGGTTCAGGCAATTCTCCTGCCTCAGCCTCCTGAGTAGCTGGGATTACAGGCACGCGTCACCATGCCCAGCTAATTTTTTGTATTTTTAGTAGAGACGGGGTTTCACCGTGTTGACCAGGATGGTCTCGATCTCTTGACCTCGTGATCCACCCGCCTCGGCCTCCCAAAGTGCTGGAATTACAGGCTTGAGCCACCGCGCCCGGCTGATTTTTTTTTTTATATATATTTTTAGTAGAGACAGGATTTCACCATGTTGGCCTGGCTGGTCTCAAACTCCTGACCTCTGGTGATCCGCCTGCCTCGGCCTCCCAAAGTGCTGATATTACAGGTGTGAGCCACTGCACCCAGCCCAGATTTAAGCTGTCTTGATGAAAATCTAATATATACTTGCTACCTTTGTTTCATTAAGTGTTTGCATGGTTGAGCACTGTGCAAATTGCTTTACTTGGTTTTATTTATTACATTTTTTTTTTTTTTTTTTTTTTTACATTTGGGTTATTCTGAGTGGAAGGACTTCAGTATAATAATTTATAAACTGGCTGAGGAATGATTTGGGATCATTCCTGCACCAAGTAGTTTAGTAAGTGAACCTCTGCTACTACACTCTCCCCTCCATGCATTATTTTTACTTCTCTATATAAATGTCCCACTCTCTGTACTATCAGATTACCACAGTATTCCAGATTTTGAGATTCTTTTGTTTAATTGATATGTAAAGTGCATGGTTTTGGGGTACATGTGATAATAAATTCTTATAATTTGAAAAGATCAACTTGTGTACTTGGGATTCCATCACCTTAAATATTTGTCTTTTCCATATACTAGAACCGTTTGAATTCTTCTCTTCTGGCTATTTTTAAATACATAATAGATAATTGTAAGCTATAGTCACAATCATATGTCAGCTGCTGCTCAATTAGATGAAATGGCAACGGATTAAACCTTTTAAAAAAAAAATTTTTTTTTTTTAGAGGCAGGGTTTCTCCATATTGGTCAGACTGGTCTCAAACTCCTGACCTCAGGTGATCTGCCCACCTCGGCCTCCCAATATGCTGGGATTACAGGCATGAACCACCGTGCCCAGCCCAGATTAAACCTTTTAAAAGGACTTTTGTAATAACCAGAGGAGCCTTTAATTGGTAGGAGGCACTTTTGCCTATCATTCCTTATTTCTTGATAGTTGTGGGGCAGACACATGAGAAATGGGCATGGGGGAGCAGTGGTAGGAGTATTTGAGTTGATGGGCCATAGGGGAGATCTTCCCCCAGTCAGGCACTTTAGCTGCTGCCTCACCCTTTCTTCTATCCTGACTTTTAATATGTCTCTTTCACTGTAATTTTCTGTTTAGTTAATTTTACAAAACTGGCATTACCAAGTTTTATTTGTTTTATCTTGTTTTTCAGAGAGTTCCCTGTAACTGGGCTTGTTTGGGAAGCTTATGTGTAAGAAAGATGAAATGGTATCAGGAACAATGGCGATATTAGTTCCTACTAATTATTTTGTGAGACTTAATTCCCACGGTAGTCATTTCTGTGAAGACTTATTTAGGAGGGTCACCAGAAATTGGCAAAGCATTGAGGAAATACATTTTGAGGAAGAGATGAAAGTAGTCAAGAAGAGAAAATCTACCTTATATAATTTGGAGACTGGATTTTTTTTTTTTAATTCTGTTTCACTTTATTTTATTTTAAGATGAGTTCTCACTCTGTCACCCAGGCTGCAGTGCAGTGGCACAATCTTGGCTCATTACAACCTCTGCCTCCTGGGCTCAAGAGATTCTCCTGCCTCTGCCTCCGAAGTAGCTGGGATTACAGGTGCCCACCACCATACATGGCTAATTTTTTTGTATTTTTACTAGAGACAAGTTTTCACCATGTTGGCCAGGCTGGTCTTGAACTCCTGACCTCAAGTGATCTGTCCACCTCTGTCTCCCAAAGTGCTGGGATCACAGGTGTGAGCCACCGTGCCTGGCCATGTACTTAGAAATTCTTGAATAGGGTAGCATCATTTGCTGTGATAGGGAGAGTAGGCTGGTTTCACAGTGATAAATATTGTGTGTTGAATCAGGATTTTGAGGCTGCCTTTTTAAATGATTGGTATCTAAAAACCTGTGGCTTGAAGTATGTATTTGTCAATCTAATATTTGCTGACTCCAAACATTTTAAAATACTGTATCTAGCCTAGTTACTCCATTTTAACTGATCTCAGTTTCAATAAAATTAAAAAAAAAAAAGCAGAGCAGGCCAGGCGCAGTGACTGATACCTGTAATCCTGGCACTTTGGGAGGTTGAGGTGGGTGGATCACAAGATCAGGAGTTTGAGATCAGCCGGGCCAACATTGTGAAACCCCATCTCTACTAATAAATACAAAAAAATAGCTGGACATGGTAGCGGGGGCTACTTGGGAGGTTCAGGCAGGAGAATCACTTGAACCTGGGAGGCAGAGGTTAAAATGAGCTGAGATCACGCCATTGCACTCCAGCCTAGGTGACAGTATGAGGCTGTCTCAAAAAAAAAAAAAAAAAAAAAAAAAAAAGCCCAGAGCAAAGGAAGGGAACCTTTTATATGCCAGGCACTGTCCCACCTGGCATCTTACATGCATTATTTCATTTACTCCTCAGTGTAGCACTGAGATAAGTGTACTTTCCCCACTTTTTACAAAGGAAGAAACCAAGAATTAGGTAAGTGTCACAGATCCGCAGGCACAGTGGCTCACACCTGTGATCCCAGCACTTTGGGAGGCTGAGGCGGGAGGATTGCTTGAGCTCAGGAGTTCGAGGCCAGTCTGGGCAAGATAACTAACCCCTGTTTCTACAAAAAATATAAAAATTAGCCAGGCGTGGTGCCATGTGCCTGTAGTCCCAGCTCCTTGCGGGGCTGAAGTGGAAGGATCACCTGAGCCCAGGTGTTGGAGGCTGCAGCAAGTCATGATGGCAACACTGCACTCCAGCCTAGGCAACAAAGCAAGACCCCATCTCAAAAAAAAAGTATCACAGATCGATGAAAGAAGTTTAGCTGGTCTGGCTTCAGTCAGGGCTCTTTCTCTCAGTAATTGCTACTCTAAGGATCTATTGAGAAATGGACAGGGAAACCCTAGAAACTCAGTATTAATATCATTTGTTTATTTGTATTCATTCATTAATTTTATGAATATTTACTAAGTGCTCTTGTGCTTTTATATACCAGGGATTATGCTGAACCATAAAGAAGAGAACAAAACAAGATCCGTACCCTCACGGAGTTTCAAGGTCACTTACTCTTGTCACCCAGGCTGGAGTGCAGTGGTGCGATCACGGCTCATTACAGGCTTGACCTCCTGGGCTCAAGCAATCCCCCTGCCTCAGCCTTCCAAGTAGCTGGGACTAAAGGCATGCACCACCACACCCAGCTAATTTTTTTTCTTTAAAATTTTTTGTAGAGACAGAGTCTCCATGTGTTGCCCAGGCTAGTTCAAACTTCTAGGCTCAAGCATTCCTCCTGCCTCAGCCTCCCAAAGTGCTGGTATCACAGCTGTAAGGTACTGCACCCAGCCAAAAATTAGTTTTTGTTTTGTTTTGTTTCGTGTTTCGTTTTTTGAGATGGAGTTTCACTGTCACCCAGGCTGGAGTGTAGTCACACCATCTTGGCTCACTGGAACTTTCACCCCCTGGGTTCAAGTGATTCTCCTGCCTCAGCTTCCCCAGTAGCTGGGGTTACAGGCATGTGCCACCATGCCCAGGTAATTTTTGTATTTTCAGTACTGACGGGGTGTCATGTCGGCCAGGCTAGTCTCGAACTCCTGGCCTCAAATGGCAACCTACCTTGGCCTCCCAAAGTACTAGGATTACAGGCAAAATCACCTCGCCTGGCCGATCTTTAAATGGATTTGCATTTTGCCTTTTCTGTTTAATACAGGTATTCTGTTATATATGTGTATGTGTGTGTATATATATATACATATACATGTATTGGGTACATATACCCATACATATACACATGTTCATGTGTATAGTCAGGGTTCTCTTAGAGGGACAGAACTAATAGATCATCTGAGGTTGAAATTTTAGACCAGCCTGGCTAATATGGTGAAACCCTGTCTCTAGTGAAAATACAAAAAAATGGCCGGGTGCAGTGGCTCACACCTGTAATCTCAGCACTTTGGGAGGCTGAAGTGGGTGGATCACCTGAGGTCAGGAGTTTGAGACCAGCCTGGCCAACGTAGCAAAACCCCATCTCTACTAAAAATACAAAAATTAGCCGGGCATGGTGCTGGGTGCCTGTATAATCCCAGCTACTCGGGAGGCTGAGGCAGAAGAATTGCGTGAACCCGGGAGGCGGAGGTTGCAGTGAGCCAAAATCATCCCACTGTACTTGAGCCTAGGTGGCAAGAGCGAGACTCCATCAATAAAAAAAGTTAGCTGAGTGTGGTTGCGGGCACCTATAATCCCAGCTACTCCAGAGACTGAGACAGAAGAAACATTTGGGCCCAGGAAACAGGTTTCAGTGAGCCAAGAGCTCACTGTACTCCAGCATGGGCAACAGAGCAAGACTCTGTCTGAAAAAAATAAATAATGTTTTATGTATAGGTGGTTTTTCCAAAGACTAAGTTTATTATGACATCTAATTTCAGTGATGAGAGAATGGTTGTCTAGTAAAGTAAGCTATTATTGTGAGTCTGCTCTATTAATGTTTTAAAATAAAAGCCTTTTTTTTTTTTTTTTTTTTTCCTCTGAGGCAGAGTCTCACTCTGTCGACCAAACTGGAGCCCAGTGGCACGATCTCAGCTGACTGCAATATCTGTCTCTCAGGTTCAAGTGATTCTTCTGCATCAGCCTCTTGAGTAACTCTTATTACAGGTGCATGCCTACCACGCCCAGCTAATTTTTGTGTTTTTAGTAGAGATGGGGTTTCACCGTGTTGGTCAGGCTGGTCTCAAACTCCTGAGCTTGTGATCCACCTGCCTTGGCCTCCCAAAGTGCTGGGATTATAGGCGTGAGCCACCTAGCCTAACCCAAAATAAAAGCTTCTTAAGATGGAATGAGAATACAACATAGGGACATGTTTCTATGTTTTGTTCAGTTGTCCAGCATTGATCTGTGAACACTGTGTAACTTTCAGCAAGAGGCATTTGTTGAAAATTACCTCTTTCACCAGGCGCAGTGGCTCACACCTATAATCCCAGCACTTGGGGAGGCCAAGGTGGGCAGATCACAAGGTCAGGAGATCAAGACCATTCTGGCCAACATGGTGAAACCCCATCTCTACTAAAATACGAAAATTGAGCCGGGCCTGATGGTGCACACCTGTAGTCTCAGCTACTCGGGAGGCTGAGGCAGGGGAATCACTTGAACCCAGGAAGCGGAGGTTGCAGTGAGCCAAGATCGCGCCACTGCACTCCTGCCTGGCGACAGAGTAACACTCTGTCTCAAAAAAAACAAAGCGCCGGGCGCGGTGGCTCAAGCGTGTAATCCCAGCACTTTGGTATAACATGCTAACTTTTCAGTTCTTTTTGAGTCGGGTCTTCTTGATGCCCTTGATAGCACAGCATAATAAAATGCATGAAGGCAGAGCAAATGATTTTTTATTACTGCATATTGATTTGGTTTTGATTCTCTTACACAGAAGGAAATGTACAAATTACCACTGAAACTCTGCTAAAATCTACCGAAGTACAAGGTATGAAGACAAGTGGGACTAAGATGGATAATAATGAAGGACACAAAAATGGCAATGTGATCTGTCAGCTGGATGATCTCTCAGCTGGATGCAGTGAATTCCCAGAGGTAGACAAAATCATGACCAGTGATGAGGTTTCAGAAACCAGGACATTAGTTACCCTAGAACCTTTAACCTTTGTGGACCCTGGATTAACAGAAGCAACTCCTAAAGAAGAAGAATGTGAAGAATTAAAAAGTTGTCCTTGGTTGTCATTACCAGGAAACAGTGCCATTTCTGATGTGGACAATAGGAAGGAAGAGTTGTGTAAACTAAACCTTGTCTGTGAGGCAGATGACAATCACCAACAAATTCATGGCCACCGTAATGAACAACCCAGTTCTGCATGTGATAATCCCACAGCCACAAGCCCCTTGAAAGAAAACTGTGAAGTTTCATGTTTCACATCAGACTTGTCTGGTTCAGAATCCAGAACAGTATCCTTAGAAAACTGTGGTTTTGAAGGTGATGGTTTGCTAAAGAGATCTGCTGAAAAGACAGACTATTCTTATTTTTATGGGGGAGATGATCAAAGGAAGAACTTGCCTTCTAGAGAAAAAAATAAAGAACAGCTTTTGATTCCCAGGAGTGAAAGAGATGGACCTTTTCTTATTAATGCCAGGCAACCAGAAAAGGAGATTAGTGGTCGATCTGGTGAAAAAGAGCCTATTGTTTCCTCAAAAGAAAATATCCACAATAACTGTTGCATTCGGGACAGTCTCCATACAGGGAGCTCTAGTTCTTTAATGCCCAATTCTTTTACTGAAGCCACAGAAGTAATGTTAAATAAGAATGATTTGAAAATTACTTTACATGTTCAAGGTAACTTAACGTACCCTGAGGACCATAAAGAAAGCAGTTTTTCCTCCTTGAAGCACATTGAAGAGCCAGAACAGACAACCCCTATAGAGCCCAATTTATTAAGTAAATCTTTTTACACTAAAAACTGTAACTCCTTAGTCACCATCGAGAGAAATCTGGAAAGCAACACCCAGTTAAATGAAGCATCATGTAATGATTTTCTGTTTGAAAGAAAATCCATTGTGAGTTTAATGCCAGAGGATCAGATAAGTCCTGTAAGTGAGATATTAAAACCCAAGAAAGGTACTGCTCTCTTACCACCATCCCCAGAATCTGATTACAGACCTGAGTCAGAAAAAGTTATACAGACTTCACATGATGATATTCCACTTTTAGATGAACAGAGCATAGCCTGTGAGATGAATGAACTTTCTTGTACCAATGAACTGGTTGTAAACAAAGTGGAAAGTGAATGTGTTTTAAATCAACAAGTGTCCCTTAATTCTCAAGACCATGCAAAGTTGCCAACTGACTCTGTAATGCATTTAAACAAAGAGATGCCTTTAAAAACAGGCAAAGATGCCCAACAGAGCCATCATCCTCCATTAGAGGGTGGAGCAGATGTCACTGCTGATATACAAACCGTTCCCGTTCAGACAAAAATGAAAGACATCTCTTCACCAGGTAATAAAACCTGTGGTGCCTCCTCAAACAGTCCCACCTTAAACATCAAACCAGTAAGCCTAGAGAGAAAAAAAGAAATGGCTGATTCAGGAACAAAAGCTCTACATTCCAGGCTTCTTTCAAATAAGAGAGAAATAGCTGGCTTTCCTCAAGTGGTCTCTGTCATAGAATGTCACAGTGTTCAATCTCAGGATATCTCTAGCTGTCATTGTATAAGAAAACATGTATCTGAAGAAAACATGTGTTCTGCTTGTGCGGCTTTCAAGTCCAGCAAAATCAACCTGCAAGTTGATAACTCTTTGATAACAAAATATAAAAATGCATTTCAGCACAGTCATCACCATTGCCAAGGAGCAGGAGACTCTGTGGAAAAAAGCAGCTGTAAAGTGAGTTATACATCAGAGGAAAGGGAACTTGATGGGAAAGAAACTAGTGGCAGCCTTCCAGGAGATAAGATCAGAAACAAACTGACAGCAGACTTGTTAAATAGTGGAATTTCAAACAAAACCATTCACACCTTGAGTAATATCAAACCTAGTGAGGAAGGGCTGGAAGGAAAGGAGCAGGATATATCCAAAGAAACTCTATTTCGTAAGTATAACATCTCTGATCATGCTATACAAGAACTAAACCAGACTGTACACATTCCAAGTCCAGAAAAAATGTTGGACCAGTCTCCTCCTGTTATGTTCTCCAGTTTTAAAAACGTAAAAGCAGTTGAAACACTCAATCAGGTCGGTCATAAGGCAGATGAAGTCCTTGACTCTCAGAGTAACCAAAACAGACCAGATGAATGCAGAAGTGAAGGTCAGTCAGCTAAGGAGACACTAGGTAGTGACCAGAGAGAGACTGTCACCAAGCTTCAGGGAGAGGCAAGCCACGACCAAAAAGATCTGCTGGTCAGCTCAGGCAGTAATAACTCACTACCTTGTGGTCCTCCAAAAAAAGGCAACTTGAAAGGAGACTTTGTCAAGATTTCTGGTTGTGATGAGTCCACAGAAGGTATGGTAAATATCGTCTACACAGACTGTAGTAATAAGCCTACAGAAGGTGTGCTGGACGTTAAAGCATCTAATCCACTGGATTGTGCAAGGCAAGAGAGACTGGCATTCCAAGACGACTCAAGGAGTACCTTGTATCAAAGAGAACTGGATGCTGCCCATATAGGAACATTTGGCAAGGACTCCGATTTCTCAGATGCTGCTGCTTCTATAGTGGGCTTTCTTGAACTGAAAAAATCATATGAAGAAAACGTATGCAGATCTTTAAAAGACTGCGAAATGGAAAAGTGTCCAGACTCTTGTGCCCATGAGATGGAGTCTGTTGCAGATCATGAACCAAATATAAGAATATTGGACAGAGTAAATGTGTCTTTAAATCATATCCATTATGGACAGCAAGATAAAGAAACATCTCTCAGAGAAACACAAGAAATGACTGAAGGATCAATACTAGAAATAAGCTCTGAGTTTGGCAAAGAAAGTACCTTTGGAATTTCCTCAAAAGAGTTAATGTCTTGCCATGATGAGAGCTCTGGTTCCCTAGGAATCCTGAAATCCATTGAAATAATGCCTTCTCAAGAAAATTTAGAAACTAATAATAACAGTGAAGAAACTGACCTGAAAAATCTTTTTAAACCAAAAGATGGTGAAATGCTTTGTGAAAATGCAAAGGACTGCCCAGTCCTTCCTGAGATGAAGGAAGGAGTATCAAGAGATAGGAGTAATTCTAGTGATGGAGACAGCATATGTACCTGTGTGGAAAAGAATGCTTGCAAAGCTTATCACTCTCACGGGAATTCCTCTGACAGATACTTGCCTTTGACAGTGAATACAGGAACTAAAGTGAAAGGAGAAGAAACTCAAGAGCATCAAAGGGGACCACCTGTTGACTTAACTGTTGGGGACCAATCTGAGGAGATGGTTACCAGAGAAGCTGGTGGTGGCGATCATGTGAACAACATCTCTCAGACCCACATTAACTGCCATAAGATGCTTAGTCACGGTGAAAAACAGCAGAGCCCTGAGGTTTTGGACTACAAGTTGCAGAAAGAAGAGGAATATATACATCAAAAGGAAGCACATATGATATCGGAACAATGCATATCATCTAGTCTGTTGTTAGATGATGCACAAAATAAGAACCAACCTAAGGTTGACAAAGATGAGTCCACCATAGTGAATGAAATCACCCTAGCACAGCTGGCCAAGAGCAGCATTGTGGCACGGACTCAGAAGTTAGAAGACCAGGAGGAGGAAAGCTTACATCATCCATTTAAGAAGGACATTGAGTCATGCACAGGTTCTTGCCTTCTTGGTGCCCCTCAGAAAGCACAAGACCCCTCCTCTGCTGGATGTGATCAAATACGTGGTGCCTTTGCAAAGAAAGAAATGCTTCCTTTAAAGAAGCAGCCCCATCGAACTTGTAAGAAAGTTTCCAGTCAGGAGCAAAACAGTGTGGGGAGAAAAATAGGTAAAATCAGAAGTTCTGCCTTTTTAAAGAGTTCCTCCGATCCCATCCCAACAAAAGCACACAGACTTCTCAGTTTGTGTACTGTGTCTGCACCTACACGATTAGAACCTGAAACAGCACCTACCAAGAGCTTGATTAGCCACATACCAAAGCAGACGACTACACCATGCCATCCCTTGAGGAGCCCGAATTTTAGGAAGCCTACCAAAGAATCAGCCTTACTAGACAAGCTGTCCATCCTTGCCTCCAAACTGGCCCCAGCCATGAAGACTCAGAAGCTAAGATACCAACGGTATTACTCTGAACTTCCAATGGCTAAAAGCTATAAGCGCCTCAGATACAAAAGGCTCCTGGATGGATTTTCATACAACACAGCACAGCTGAATCCATATTTGGCAGCTAGTGGATGGGATAAGAGGCCTGACAGTAATCCCATGGCACTTTATTCTCTTGAATCCATCAAGATGAGCTTCATAGATTTGAGCAAGATGCCGTCACTGCTGTTTGGTTCTGAAATCTTCCCAGTATCCTTTCATGTGAAATCATCCAGCTCAGATTGCATGACTGAGTCCTCAAGGACTTTTCCTGAGCACTGTGCTCCGGCAAGGCTTGCCTTAGGAGAGGCCCTCCAGTGCCCGTCTCAACCTCCCAAGTGGACCTTTTCTTTCTTCTTGTCCCACAGTTGCCCTGGGATGGCCACATTCAGGGAAGACACTGGCGTCCATAGTCAGACCCACACTCAGGCTCTTCTTCAGCCTCCAGCTCCTCTCCAAGACTATGGAGGCACTGCCATAGTCCAGACCAGAGCCAACTGCTCTGTCCTTGGCCTTCACACACTTCTAGCACTTTGCTCCCCGGGATGTTACCGAATCTGGACAAAAAAACGGAACTTCTCCAGCCACATGCCTACCATGCAGAGGCTCTTCATGACCCACTTTACACAGGGATTGAAAGGGCTGCGGTCTCCATCCTCCATAGCAGACAAGGTCTTCTGTTCTCTGCCCTACTCGGTGGGCAGAGTGCTGTCCATTTGGAGCCACCACGGGCCTTCTGCATGCTCCTTCGAAATCTCTTCTCTTCATTCCACTCACAGCAAGCGGCAATCAAGTCTCGGCACCACAAGCAGGTAAAATCTGTCCCCTATTACTTGCAAATGTCCCATGTTTGCTTCCTGTCACTGGAGAGAGAAGGGCACTGTGGGAAATGCAAACTATTTAGAGTCCCCTTGGGTTTGCACTTTCTATTTACCTTGCCAAATCTCTTTTTTTTTTTTTTTGAGGCAGAGTCTAGCACTGTCACCAGGCTGGAGTGCAGTGGCATGATCTCAGGTCACTGCACCCGCTGCCTCCTGGGTTCAAACAAACGATTCTCCTGCCTCAGCCTCCCAAGTAGCTGGGATTGCAGGTGCCTGCCAGTACACCCAGCTAATTTTTGTATTTTTAGTAGAGACGGGGTTGTACTGTTGGCCAGGATGGTCTCAATCACCTGACCTTGTGATCCACCTGCGTCAGCCTCCCAAAGTGCTGGGATTATAGGCGTGAGCCATCACACCCAGCCCACACCATTTTTTTTTCTGTCCATTTCATTCTTCAAACCATCAACTATGTTGAATCTTCTTTTTTTGTTTTTTGAGCCTTTTTTTGAGACAGTCTCACTCTTTTTTTTTTTTTTTTTTTTTTGAGACGGAGTTTCTCTGTTGTTGCCCAGATTGGAGTGCAATGGCACGATCTCGGCTCACCGCAACCTCCGCCTCCTGGGTTCAAGCAATTCTCCTGCCTCAGCCTCCCGAGTTGCTGGGACTACAGGCATGCACCATCATGCCCAGCTAATTTTTGTATTTTTAGTAGAGACGAGGTTTCTTTCACCTTGTTGACCAGGATGGTCTCGATCTCTTGACCTCGTGATCCACCCGCCTCGGCCTCCCAAAGTGCTGGGATTATAGGCGTGAGCCACCGCGCCCGGCCTTGAGACAGTCTCACACTTGTCGCCCAAGCTGGAATTCAGTGGCGCAATCTCAGCTTACTGCAACCTCTACCTTCCGGGTTCAAGCAATTCTCCTGCCTCAGCCTCCTTAGTAGCTGGGATTACAGGCACCCGCCACCACCCTGGCTAATTTTTGTATTTTAGTAGAGATGGGGTTTCACCATGTTGACCAGGCTGGTCTCAAATTCCTGACTTCAGGTGGTTCTCCAGCCTCAGCCTCCCAAAATGCTGGGATTACAGTCATGAGCCACCGTTCACAGCTGAATCTTCTTTTTTCCTCTTGCCTCCACCTTGCAGAAAATGAGCACCCATTACAAATGAAAAACTATAAATAATAACAGATAATCGGTTGTAACATTATCTCTTTCACAAAGCATTAAACAGCCAGCACCTGACTCAGTGTTTGATATGTAGAGGACACAGAATAAATATATTTTAGTTAATGAATAAATTACACAGTTATCACCAAATCTGGTTTACAAACCCCTGCCTTTCTTTTGGCAATGTAGAGGCTTCAAAAATTGGCATTTACCTACTTCAGTTTTAGGATTTATGAACTTAAAGTGAACTGGGAAGGAGTTCTTGTGCTTTGACCATTGAGAATAATTGGAAATATTTTCATCAATATCATTGTAACTTCTAATTGAAAATAAGAGAAGAAAAAGAATTTGAGAACTACTCATCTTAAGAATCTCTAAAGAGCTGCTATAGTTGTGATAAATAAGTCCTCCTCTTTGTAATTCTTTTTTTTTTTTCTGATAAAGCTTATAATTCTTTTTTTTTTTTTTTTTTTTTTTAAGACAGAGTCTCACTCCAGTGCCCAGGCTGGAGTGCAGTGGTGCAATCTCGGCTCACTGCAACCTCCGCCTACCAGGTTCAAGCGATTCTCCTGCCTCAGCCTCCCAAATAGCTGGGATTACAGGGACCCGCCACCACAACTGGCTATTTTTTTTGTATTTTTAGTAGAGACAGCATTTCACCAAGTTGGCCAGGCTGGTCTTGAACTCCTGACCTCAGGTGATCTACCTCCTTGGCCTCCTAAAGTGCTGGGATTACAGGTGTGAACCACCATATGGGCCTGACCTCTTTGTAAGTCTTTAGGTAAACAGAAATTATTTTTAATTTGCTTTTACCATTGCTATAGTTGAAAAATTAGAGAGCAAAAGAGCATTAATATTCCAAATAGCTTAGGAGAGTCTTGTTCATATGTCTTTAATGTAGAATCATTGTGTGTCATTAAAAAGTGTGCTGGTTGAGGCCAGGCGCAGTGGCTCATGTCTGTAATCCCAGCACTTTGGGAGGCCATGGCAGGCCTGGCCAATATGGTGAAACCCTGTCTCTACAACAAATATAAAAAATTTAGCTGGGTGTGATGGTGTGTGCCTGTAATTCCAGCTACTCATGAGGCAGGGGGATCCTTTAAACCCGGTAGGCAGAGGTTACAGTGAGCTGAGATTGCGCCTTTGCACTCCAGCCTGGGCAACAGAGCGACTTTCCGTTACCAAAAAAAAAAAAAAAAACAGGCCAGACACAGGGACATATGCCTGTAATACCAGCAGTTTGGGAGGCCGAGGTGGGCGGAACACAAAGTCAAGAGATGGAGACCAACCTGGCTAACATGGTGATGCCCCATCTCTACTAAAAAAAAATTGGCCAAGGGGCCGGGCGCGGTGGCTCAAGCCTGTAATCCCAGCACTTTGGGAGGCCGAGGCGGGTGGATCACCAGGTCAAGAGATCGAGACCATCCTGGTCAACATGGTGAAACCCTGTCTCTACTAAAAATACAAAAAAAAATTAGCTGGGCATGGTGGCGCGTGCCTGTAATCCCAGCTACTCAGGAGGCTGAGGCAGGAGAATTGCCTGAACCCAGGAGGCGGAGGTTGCGGTGAGCCGAGATCGCGCCATTGCACTCCAGCCTGGGTAACATGAGCGAAACTCCGTCTCTCAAAAAAAAAAAAAAAAAACAAACAAACAAAAAAAAAATTGGCCAGACTCAGTGGCTCATGCCTGTAATCCCAGCATTTTGGGAGGCCAAGGCGGGTGATCACAAGATCAGGAGTTCAAGGCCAGCCTGGCCAAAATAGTGAAACCCCGTCCCTACTAAAAATACAAAAAATTAGCTGGGTGTGGTGGTGGGTTCCTGTAATCCCAGCTACTTGGGAGGCTGAGGCAGAAGAATCTCTTAAACCCGGGAGGTGGAGGTTGCAGTGAGCCGAGATCTCACCAGTACACTCCAGCCCAGGCAACAGTGTGGGGCTCTGTCTCAAAAAAAAGAAAAAAAAAATGATCTGTGTTTTTCCTAGCTGTTAAAAAAGCTCCTTTTACTTCAGAGAGGAGATGTGTTGTATGGTCATCACATACACCTCTGGTAAATTAAACCTGTAGTGTGTTTAAGTTCAGTAGAAACCAATGCAAGTTTTAATTTGAAAGGCGCAAAAAGCTCTCCAACATCACTTATTAATGTATCTACAAGTGGTGAATACTACTGTTTCATCTCTATGAAAAATAAGCATTTAAAGCTGGGCACAGTGGCTCAAGCCTGTGCTCCCAGCACTTTGGGAGGCCGATGTGGGCAGATCATGTGAGGTGAGGAGTTTGAGATCAGCTTGGGCAACATGGTGAAACCCCATCTCTACTAAAAATACAAAAATTAGCCAGGTGTGGTGGCGCATGCCTGTAGTCCCAGCCACTTAGGAGGCTGAGGAGGAGAATCCCTTGAACCCAGGAGGCAGAGGTTGCAGTGAGCTGAGATTGCACCACTGCACTCCAGCCTGGGTGAAAAACTGAGACACTCTCAGCCGGGCGCGGTGGCTCAAGCCTGTAATCCCAGCACTTTGGGAGGCCGAGGCGGGTGGATCACGAGGTGAAGAGATCGAGACCATCCTGGTCAACATGGTGAAACCCCGTCTCTACTGAAACTACAAAAAATTAGCTGGGCATGGTGGTGCGTGCCTGTAATCCCATCTACTCAGGAGGCTGAGGCAGGAGAATTGCCTGAACCCAGGAGGCGGAGGTTGCGGTGAGCCGAGATCGCGCCATTGCACTCCAGCCTGGGTAACAAGAGCGAAACTCCGTCTCGGAAAAAAAAAAAAAAAAAACAAAACTGAGACACTCTCATATTTTATAAGGTTGTAGAAACTGAGAGATTGGTATAATATATTCTTTAAAATTTTTTTAAATTTTTATTTAGAGACAGGGTCTTGCCCTGTCACTCAGGCTGAAGTGCAGTGGTGCAGTCTTGGCTTACTTCAGTCTTGACTTCCCAGGCTCAAGCAGTCTTCTCACCTCCGCCTCCTGATTAGCTGGGTCCACAGGTGCACTCCATCACCCTGGCTAATTTTTGTATTTTTTTGTGGAGACAAGGTCTCGGCGTATTTCACAAGCTCGTCTCGAACTCCTAGGCTCAAGTGATCTGACCACCTCAGCCTCCCAAAGTGCCAGGATTATAGTCATTAGCCACCTTGCCCAGCCACTGTCCCTTATTTCTATCTCTGCTTTCTTTCCATTTAAGTTAGAAAATAGTCTTCCTGTCAGTCTTCCTCCATTCCAGTGATGGGCTCATAAATGTAACTCTCCTGGTTGGGAAGCTTTCCTCTTTCTGGGTAACTGACATTTCTCGTCTTCTTGGGGCTAAATACATGTGCTAATACTGACAATAGCATCAAAACCTTTCCTGTTATCCCACTGCCCTTACCTGTTGCTTTTGTGCTTTTGCTTTAGCCACACCATGTTACCATATGTGCCTCTTCCAGGCATGGAAGCTACATATAACACCAGCGGCAGTCAGACGAGGTAAGCACATGAGGGCTCAGTGTGTGCGTGTGTGTGTGTGCGTGCATGTGTGTGCAAGAGAGAGAGAGTGCATGCATAGGTGGCGTGGATCACCTGTGGCATGAATCTGACCTCTCATAAACCTGATCTATGGCTCTTAGATAAACATCTCTGAGATTGAAATGTCTTCTATTACAAGTAGCAACTAGGAATGTGTAATCAATACCATTTGTTAAAAAAATGAAAATCTCTGGCCAGCTTATTGTACCAGAAGTCCCCTCTCAAGTTATTTCATGTTTTATAGTCAACCAGTCCCTGGACAGGATTGATTTCATCTGATCACTGTTCATTTGTGCAGTTTACAAGGTAT